TGCTATACAGTTATATACAGTAGTTTACAAATACTCATTAATCATACCTCTACTTTGCTCTTTTTCTTTAGGTTGTTGGCTCCAGAGGATCTATAGAGATCAATCCCAGAGACACCATGGTTAAAGAGAGCAGCATAGTGGGAGTCGCCCTTTTCTTTGCAACACCGGTACAAAACAACAGCATCACAAAAATTTTTTTTATTTCATTTTAAAATTTTGTTTTTAATTCAGTTAAGCATATTTTCCAGAGTAGGTTTGATTGTTATTATTTTAAAATGTTTAGTTTGTTAAAGTTAGTGTTCCGTGCTATTATTGTTATTATTTTTTATTTTATTTAGTTTTCCAAGTAAGCAAAATCATGCACATTGGTAATGCTACTGCCAAAACCTTTGGCTATGACTCCATACATGATACATGATAAATATGTACAGAATTCTTATTCCGTGCCCCACTTGGTGATTTGGACATCTTTCTTCTCCCCCTGCTCCTCTCAGGAGGAGTTGAAGGAGTGTGGAGCTCTACTGTATGCAGGGATGGAAGCTGGTTGGTTGCGTCCGGTCGTCGGTTCCCAGTATCCGCTTGAAAAAGCTGCCCAGGCCCACCATGATATCATCGAGTCTCCCGGGGCTGCTGGGAAGATGGTCCTGACTATGTGATGACACGACCATGTAATGGGTCACAGGTCACCGTTACAGTTTTTACAGTTCAGGCTGTTTTTAAATGGGTGATACTTTGATAAAAAAATTTCAGGAACGGTTAATGTTGTTGTTTGTTGCTTCTATGGCAAAAATCAGTTTGCTAGATCACAGAAAATAATGCAGAAAATCCTTAGGCTGGATTTGTTTTTACTGTACTATGATGGTGCGATTTGCCAATTGGATGAAACCTTACTGTAGTGAAGTTATTTCTTTAGTTCGTGTTAATATACTTTTGTATTTCTAAAGCTGAATTTAATAGGTTTTTTTTTCCAGAATGATCAGAGTGTTTTTGCAGATCTCTCCATAAGGTCTGTTGTCACTGATTTTAGGTTTAGTTCTTGTGTAATTTGGCATATCTCACTTTTTTCTCCTTGTTACCCTTCCTTAAGAAGGGCATCTTGACAGCCAGCCTTCGCCTGAGAGCATTTGTGATGAGGCTTCATTAAACAGTAGATGAATAAACTGAAGGACCCCATGCATATATCATGTCCTGTGTCACGTCTATTCTGGTGTTTTTCACCCTTTTTCTTAAGAACATGACTGCTCATCTGATGTAGATAGTTTTTTTTAAGCCTCCCACTTTTCTTTTGTCCTTCACTTGTTCAGTTTCCTCACATTGTTTTAAGAACACACTGCACACTGTGTCAAAATATGCCAGCTTTTGTCATCTACGGTTCATAACATCATCATAAGATAGACAGAAAATCTGGAGAAATCTCTGTGTGCAAGGGATAAGGCCAAAAATAAGTATTGTATATCTGTAATGTTTGGGCCCCTTGGTAAAATTACATAAAAAGCATGCATGATTCTGTCCTACCCTCAGGAACACTTGCTGAAATCATTGTCTGTGAACACAGTTCACCGTGCCTTCCACAAATGCAGATTAAAGCTCTGTTGTGCAAAAAGAAGCCATGCACCAAAAAAGCCACTGCCTTCTCTGGATTTAAAATAGCCTGTGACAAAGTGGAAAACGCTTCGTTTTTAAGCCCTCAGTTCAAAAGCCTGAATCTCTAATGCCTGCAGAACCAACAGCTTGCTCATCTGGAAAGGCACCATCAGTGCTGGAAGGTATATGCATGTTGATGGGTTTGTCTAGCATAAACCTATTTGCTGGAACGTTCAAGACAATTCTGCTACACAGCAAAGCAAGACACAAGTCGCCAAAGTTCTTTGTGTTACTCGTGCACGAGGGAGAGAACTGGACGAGCGCCGTTCCTTCACTTGACCCCAGTTGCTCTCGTCTGCTCCCTCGTAACACTGCTCTTTATTGAGGCTACATGAATATGCGTAGGCTCATTAACATATGACATCTTACATAGGCGTACATGTAAACAAAGAGTACCAGTCTGTGCATAGTGTAGGTGTGTGTGCCTGGAAGTCCAGCAGTTCATCTAAACAAAAGGGACTTATACTAAAACAGATATAGAGTAGGTTTCCTATAGTATAA